CCAAATTTAAAACGGGTGGACTCCAAACTCCCAGAATTCCTCGGCCAGCATGGGGAAGTGAACTAAATTTAAAACGGGTGGATTTCACCTCCCAGAATTCCTCAGCCAGGATGTGGAAGTGAACCAAATTTAAACCAGGTGGCCTTCTGGGAGTTGAAGTCCGCTCCTCTGAAAGGGGCGGGGGCTGAGAATCGCCCTCTGGGGGCTTGCCGGGAGCCGCGTCCCCTGACCTGAGAGGTGCTTGGCGCAGTTGGTGTCGCCCTTCAGGTCGTGGTCGCGGTCCCGGGTGGAGAAGGGCAGCTGGGGGAAGTCCCCCATGGCGCTCTCCAGCTCCCCCCGGATGGGTCCCAGGAGGCTGAGGGTGTACGCCGTCTCCTCCCCGCCCAGCCGGAAGAGGAAGTGGGCTTTTTGCGCGTTGCCTTCCCAGTCCTGCAGCTCAATCAGCAGCTGGAAGGCCTCCGCCTTCACCACCCGGTGCGTCTTCTCCAAGCCCAGCCAGAAATCTCCTGAAAAGCAAAGACAGCCGTGAAAAAAGCAGCAGTCCTCGGCTTACGACCGTTGTTGAATGAGACATTTCCTCGGTTCAGTTGTAGCTCCCCCTTTTACCACATTTCCTGCCACCCTGGTTAAGCGCTATCAACGCGAGTCGATAACTCAAGTCACCCGGTCGTTAAGTGAATCCGGCTTCCCCTGTTGACTTTGCTTGTCGGAAGGTCGCAAAGGGGGGGGGAGAACCACGTGACCCCGGGACACTGCGGCCGTCATAAATACGAGACAGTCGCCAAGCGTCCGGATGCAAATCACCTGACCCTAGGGATGCTGCGACGGTCCTAAGTGTGAAAAACAGTCCTCAGTCACTTTTTGCAGTGCTCTCGTCGTAACTTGGAACGGTCACTAAACGAACGGATGTAAGCTGAGGACTACCTGCGTAGTTAGTCCCCGGCTTAACGACCACAACCGGGCAAGAATTTCCATTGCTTATTAGCAGTTCAAGGGAATTGCGCAGATTTTGCAACTTTTTTTTAGGGAATGCAGTGGCTGAGCAAAATGCTGAAGTCGTTAAGCGAATCGCCTGGTTGTTAAGCGAATCCAACTTCCTCCAGTGATTTTGCTTGCCTGGGAAGGTCGCAAACGGCGATCCCCTGACCCCAGCCATTGTAAGTACATGCTAGTTGGCCAAACTCCTGGATTTTGATCCCCTTGACTGTGGGGGGGGGGAATGCTGCAATGGTCATAAGTGTGAGGACCGGTTATAAGTGTGAGGACCGGCCCCAAGTCACTTCTTTAGGTGCCATTGTAACTTTGAACTAAACTAAATGAATGGCAGTAAGTGGACTTCCGGTTTGTCAATGTTTTAACTCAGGGGTCTTCAAACTTGGCCCTTTTATGCAGGGCTTTTTTTCAGCCGGAACGCGGCGGAACCGCGTTCCGGCACCTTTTTCCGGGCCGGCCGCACCGGAAATAGCCCCTCCCAAATTTTACTTGCATCCTGTTCTCTAAAGGGGCGGTCCTAGGGTTTGATGAGGGCGTGGCCAGGTTTGAGTTCCGCCACCTTTTCTCCGAGAAAAAAAGCCCTGCTTTTATGACTTGTGGACTTCAACTCCGAGAATTCCTCAGCTAGCATGGGGGAACCATGGCCCTTTTATGACATGGACTTCAACTCCCAGAATTCCTCAGCCAGCATGGGAGAACCATGGCCCTTTTATGACTTGTGGACTTCAACTCCCAGAATTCCTCAGCCAGCATGGGAGAACCATGGCCCTTTTATGACTTGTGGACTTCAACTCCCAGAATTCCTCAGCCACCATGGGAGAACCATGGCCCTTTTATGACTTGTGGACTTCAACTCCCAGAATTCCTCAACCAGAATAGGGGAACCATGGCTCTTTTAGGACTCGTGGACTTCAACTCCCAGAATTCCCCAGCCAGCATGGGAGAACCATGGCCCTTTTAGGACTTGTGGACTTCAACTCCCAGAATTCCTCAGCCAGCTTGGCTGGCTGAGGAAATCTGGGAGTTGAAGTCCACAAGTCCTAAAAGGGCCAAGGGTGAAGACCCCTGTTTTAACTCAATAAATAAATCTGGGAAATTTATGCCGTTAGAAGGCAGCTTCAAAGCTAGAGTCGCCAAATCTCTGCTGCTGGGTTCCTTCCCCAACCCGGTGCCCTCTTCTGTCTGCCAGGGGAGCAGCCTCCTGGCAGGAATTCTGGGGGTCACCCCCCCACACACAACGTTCACCCACCTGTCAGATTTCCAAAGCCGTCCTTATAAGCGTCCCAGAGCCGGTCAAAATCCACCGAGCCGTCTTGGCGCCTCTGGATCACGGTCCAGCCGCCCTCGTCTGCCAACAGAGAGAGCAAGATTTAGGACACCGCTGAAGGGGCAAGACACACACACACCCTGGCTTGGCATCTGAGTAAAAAGTATTGGAGGGGCTGCCACAAAGAAGAGGGGGAGGGGTCAACTTATTCTCCAAAGCACCAGAGGGAAGGACAAGAAATGATGGATGGAAACTGACCAAAGAGAGAAGCAAACCTGGAATTAAGGAGAAAGTTCCTAACAGTGAGGATAATTAACCAGTGGAACTGCTTGCCACCAGAAACCATGGGCGCTCCATCACTGGAGGATTTTAAGAAGAGGCTGGATAGTCATTTGTCTGAGATGGTATAGGCCAGGTTTCCTGCTTGAGCAGGGGGTTGACTAGAGAACCTCCAAGGGTCCCTTCCAGTTCTATTCTATTCTATTCTATTCTACTTTGCTCTATATTCTATTCTATTCTATATTCCATTCCATAATTTATTCCATATTCTATTCCATATTCTATTCTATTCTTCTCTACTCCATTCCATTCCATTCCAGTCTAGTTTAGTCTAGCCTAGTCTATTCCATATTCTATTCTATTCTATTCTATTCTACTTTGCTCTGCTGTGCTCTACTCTATTCTATTCCATATTCTATTCCATATTCTATTCTGTTCTATTCTATTCTATTCCATATTCCATTCCATATTTTATTCCATATTCCATTCTATTCTATTCTACTCCATTCCATTCTAGTCTAGTCTAGTCTAGTCTAGTCTAGTCTAGTCTAGTCTAGTCTATTCCATATTCTATTCTATTCTATTCTATTCTATTCTATTCTATTCTATTCCATTCCATATTCCATATTCCATATTCCATATTCTATTCTATTGTATTCCATTCCCTTCCATTTTCTCTTCTCTTCTCTTCCTTCTGACTTTTTTTTACAGTGGAAGCAACACGCACGTACACACTCTCTTTCCCAATCACATCAGCCAGCTCCTGGCTATATAGAGATTTGAACCCAGGCTCTTCCCTTTCCCACCCCCCTGCCCTCCCTCCCTCTGAACTTACCCATGTCGCAGAAGACTTTGAAAGCCTGGCCTCCGGGGGGCTGGATATCAAAGACCCCACTGCTCTGCTGCC